TTACGGAGGACTTGTGTGTCCTGGCGCGAGCTTCTGCCGCGTAACTTCCTTCTGTTCCTTTGTTTTGGTCATACACTTTACTCCGTATTGCCCAGCCGACGCTTAGATTTTCCTTCTGGCGCCGCCTGCGGGGCTTGACTTCGTAATGGGCTTCTTCATGAGTTCGCTTATCTTCGCTTATGTTCGCGCCAAGCTCCCTCTCCCCCATTCTGAAATCTTAACCGCCCTCGGTTAACTCGTAAGCACCAGTTCACAATTGTCTAGCCGCCAATTGTATATAAGCTGGCGCGAGTTTTCGCATTCAACCAGTTTCTCCATAATGACTACTCCACCTATCCTCCCCATCGAGTTCATATCCTTCCGGGACACGTTCCTGAAACACCTTTCTACCGCCAAAACTCTTCACGAGTACAAGGCGCCAGTTGAGGCTCGCAAGAAACAACTCGAGGAAGCAGGACATGCTGCGGCGAGTCCTTCCACTATCTCAATCCCTGTTTACATTGCTCATTCCCCGCGCGCCAGATCAATCTTCTGGGATATGTGTCCCAGCTTCTCAATCGCGACTACGTTGATATGGAAGAGCTCCGTGAAGGGATTTTCACCATTCGTGGCTTCTATCATGAACTGTACGCCGTTGATGGGAAGAAAGCGGCCTATCCTCCTAGTTACGATGGAGTGCGCCAACTTACGCACTACATCCAAGAGGAGCGCTTGACGCGCAAGGCTGCAGCCGCCAAGAAGGTCCGTATTTCTCCATATCCTGGCGCCGACATATTTTCTAACTTCATTTGTATCCTGCTTCAGAAGCCTCCTAAGGCCAAGGTCCTCGTCGCCGATAGCGACGATGAGGGGGCTGGCGCCACAGATACGCCTGGTACCGATCCTTCTGTAATCGCCAGCACCAGTACTGACCAGGTAAACCAGTACTTTCCCTCAAAATGATCATTTCTTCTCTGAGCCATGGCTTCGGTCAGATGCAAGTTGACGATGACTCCAAGGCGCAACCTAGCCTTCCCAGCTTCAAGAAGATCAAGGTAAGGTGGAGAGCGTGGGAAGCCCGCACCTTTACATAAGCCATTTGTGACACCCTTATAACTATACAACCGACCTTCAGAAAAATATTATGGATGCTAGGAAATGTGCCCATTAACAATGTTAACACTTCCTAGGAAGCAGAATCTTCAAAAAGGACACCAGTCCAAAGTTATAAGCACTTCTTTCCTTTTTTAGGTAATATATTCCTACAGCACTTTCCATTCATTTGGCGCGATTTCGGTCAACCGGAATGGAGGATTTGGACCGATTATATAATCAATCACGTGAGCGGTCCGGCCATTCCGGCGCCTCATGGAAACCTCATTGTCTTCGCATTTTCTGCCCTCTTCTCCTCTCCCTTCCTGCACCATGCCCAAAGTCAGCAAAGGCAAGAAAGCTAGGCAGAACAATCTCTCAAAGGCCACAGAGGCCCTCACTTTGAAGAGATCTCGGACTAATACCCCTATTCCAGAGGGAACACCAGAAGAAACACCTCCAGAATTGGATTCCCCCACTCAAACCTTCTCAGAATTGGAGCCCACCTGTCTAGATGACACTCCTGGATCATGGGACTCTTTTCTTGGTGATGAACTTCCAGATGTAGAATGCACAGAGCTGCAGGATGAAAATGAAGATGAAGAAGACATGGAACTCAATTCTGAAACTGCTCTGGCTTCTTTTGCAGAATTCCTGGTTGATGCTCAGAAAGCTGCTCAGAAAGCTGAACGTTGGCTAGAGCAAGAGACTGGAAGAAAGAAAAAGAGAAGAGGTTACACAGGACATTCTAGGCAAACTGCTCAGCGCAGAAAACAGGCTGAGACCAAGATGAGAGAGCAGGGCTACTCAGACATACGATCTTTCTTTGGAAGTACAGAGAAGGCTCCAAAGACAGCCTCATCCAGTAAAGAAATTACAGAGATTTCCTCAGACTCTGAGGATGACTCTGCAAGTGAATCAAGCACAGATACAGAATCTGTGGAAATTCCCATTGCAGTCAGTCCTAAAATTCTCAATTCTTTTGTGAGACTAACATGTTTATAGCCACCTTCTGTTGATGTGGAAACTTTCATGGATCCTGTCAACTTGGCACATGTTCATCTCAAGGAATTGCTTGAGGCGATTTCTCACAATTCTCCTCCAGTTGACAACAGTCCTGAGAGTCTTGCTGAGAATAAATTGAATCAGCTCACTTATCACAATTTCCCAGCTTTACAGTGTGCAGCTGATCGGCTTGAGCTTGAAAGCAAGAAAAAAGAACATGATCTTGTTTTCAGAGGGCGAATTCAAGGGATGCTGGGGACATTGAAATTGTATCTCAATCCTCTTCTTTCCTACACCTGGAGACAATCTTCGATGATTGTGTCGGAATCTCAGGGGCATGGAAGCTATCTTGCCCGCAGGATTCGAGAGTGGCTCCACACATATCTTTCTACAGATAAACTTCCCTTGCATAAAATTGGTCGCTATGCATCTTCACTTCTTGATGATGAAGATTTTTCCTTGGCCATTAAATTGCATCTCCAGGCTGTGGCTGAAAAAAATGGTCACTTTCGAGCCAACACAATTGTTGATTATGTGGCATCTCCGGAAATGCAAGCATTATTGGTGGAAAGAGGTGTACCTGTTCAACAGCACACCATTTCTGTCTGGACTGCACGTCGCTGGTTGAAAACTCTTGACTTCAGATTTGGCAGAAGGAAAAATGGAATGTATATTGATGGCCATGAGCGTGATGATGTTGTGAAATATCGCATGGCATTTGTGAAACGATGGATTGAAGAATACGAACCAAGAATCGCCAAGTTCAACACTGAAGGTGTTTGCATCGGTCTGCCTGGTGGTACTTGTCTTGATGGAAAACCATATCGTCTGATTGTGGCCACTCATGATGAATCTACATTCTTTGGAAATGATCGACTTAAAGTCGGATGGATTCATCCCTCATTCAAAGCAAAGCCAGAACCCAAGGGTCAGGGTCAATCTATCATGATCTCTGATTTTTTAACACCCGAATGGGGACGTCTTGTTTGTGATTCAGAAGAGGCTCGGCTTTTTTTCCAAGCTGGGAAAAATCGAGAAGGATGGTTTGGCAACAAGGAACTGTTGGTACAAGTTTCACGTGCCATTGACATTTTTGAAGCCAGAGTGGCAAAAGAAATACCAGGAGGAGCAGTTGGTCTATTTCCCTTCGATAATGCTCCTGGTCATCAGAAGCGTGCAGCAGATGCACTCTCTGCAAGAAAGATGCCCAAGGGACCAAGCAAGACATGGGGCCAATCACCCAGAATGCGAGCAGGAACATTGCCTGGAGGAGCTCGTCAGGAATTCTATTATCCTGATAATCATCCCCAAATGCCTGGATGGTTCAAGGGTATGGAGCAAATTTTAGAAGAGCGGGGTCTGTTTCATACTGGCTTGTTGGCTCAGTGTCCAGGATTCAAATGTGAAGCAGGAGCGACCAACTGCTGTTGCCGTAGAATTCTCTTCAATCAGCTAGACTTTATCAATCAAAAATCTGCACTTCAGGAACTCATTGAAAGTCGTGGTCATATTTGTGACTTCTATCCAAAGTATCACTGTGAACTCAACTTCATTGAAATGTACTGGGGTGCAGCAAAATACATATATCGAAAGAGCCCTGGCACCAAGAATATTGATGAAATGGAAGCAAATGTCAAGAGGTGTCTAGATGAAGTCCCTCAATTGTATATTCTTCGGTTTTCCAATAGGGCAGCCCGATTTATATCAGCTTATTATCTTGGATGCACCGGACAGGATTTGGGTTATGTACAAAAGACATATAAAAGCCACAGGATGCTGCCTTACAATGCACTAGCAGAGATTAAACAGTCTGTAACTATGTAGTTTTCTGTTCTCTATGAATTACATTTTTTGGCACGGGTTTATTGAATTTTTGTTCTCGACCTCAAGATTTGGACGGTCATGTCACGCTTTGTCACGGCTTACATAAAGGTGCGGGCTTCCCACGCTCTCCACCTTAGCTGTGCCACACTCCTGTCTGCTGCGTGACTCAATCCAGTGCACCTTCCAGCTTGCGCCGTCAGTGCGTCTCCTTCTACTTTTTTTTAAAAACTTCTCCCGCTCATTGTACTTGTCCTTTTGTCCCAAGGCCACTATCTCGAAATCCAAGAAGTCAGACAAGAAGCGGTGCTGTGAAGAGTTCGACGAGAACGCCTTCATTGCTGAAGGTACGTCTGCTTGCGCCAAGTTTCTTCTATCACTCGCGCCAACTAATCTCCTCCTTAGCGATTAAGAATTTGACCGCTGGTCCGACCGCCAACTTCATTGTTGAGGAGGCCAGGCACATTACATCGCAGCCGTCCGACCTGCATTCCACCGTGCCCGCTATCAAGAAGCGCCTCTATCAGCTTATGATTGAGGTGGCCGTTATCAACGAGAAGATTCGTTCAGAGCTTGCTATCCGCGCCGAGCATATCGAGGATGCAGCTGACCTCACTGCTCGTCTCAACGAGCTGGCGCCAAGCACCAACGATGGCAATTATAACGCCTAGTCTCCCGACATTCCTTTATATTGGCTTCGTTCTCCTGTATGTAGAGTAGCAACGCCTCCGAAGCCAATTACTGTGTTGCATCCCCATTTTTTCTCTTGAGATCCATTGGCACGCACCAAGACCTTCCAGTTCCCTGGCGCCCGACTTCTATTTATTTTCCTCTCTCTCAGTACTCCGTTATCCGAGTATCCTTCAACACTGGTCTGATTGCAGAGAGGTTACTGCACCAAGGTTTGATTCGGTGCCAATAAACACTCCCTTGGCTATTCCCTGTTCGACTCGGGGTCAGACCGTGGCCGGTGGCAGATTCTCTTTTTATCTTTAAATACTGTTTTTCCTCTTTAGGCGTCTTTCCCACTGTCCAGGGCGCTTATTTTAGACGCCCTGTTTCTTCAACCAGGGGTGTACGGCTTCTGGATGCACACCTTTACTGGACCAGTAGCATAACGGTTAATGCGACTGGGATATGTAACGTCACATTCTCCCAGGGGGTTCCCCGTTCGACTCGGGGCTGATCCATTCACCTCTCTCAGTTTCTTTTTTTGCTCGCCCTTGGTGAGGTGCGCGCCAAACATCTCGTCGTGTCTATATATACTAGGTGCCTTTCCCGTAGAACGGACTAGTGGCAGAGCGGTTACTGCACCTGGATCACCTGAGGATAGTTCGCAGGAAGCTTTCTCCAGGGCACCCTTGTTCGAATCAAGGCTAGTCCATTCGACTCCGAACGCTTCTTTTTCTTTTAAGTGCACGCCAGGGTCTTATCGTAGCGTCTCATCAGTTGCCATCATTTTCCGTCTCTGCCAAGTATCCCAGGCCCTCTCTAATTCTTGCTCCTGTTGTACCTTCAACTCGCGCCCAACTTTCTTAACCGACCTGGTTTGATGAACCTTAGGTCCAGGCTCCTGCCAGGTCTCGAAGAGCGCGTCTCCTTCTTCATCTTCCTCTTCTGGCCTGGGTTCAAGATAATTATCCTCCACTCCAAGGCGTACGGTGTCGAATTGGAAGTCTTTTCCTTTGTATTTCTCAACCTCGCCATCATCAACCAACATATCCAAGGTTTCTTTTGACAGATCTATCAGATTATGTATGTTTTCAGGCAGCGCTATGCTTTTCCTGGCCTCATACGGGACTACCCGGAACTGAGCTATTTTTGATTGGAACACTGAGCCATCCATCTCAGCGACCACGTAGCTTCCGCCAAGGGTCCGTCGAATTACTATCATGGGGCCGAGATACCTTGGCGCCATCTTAGTATTCAAGGATTTTTCTACTACGGTGTTCCGGATCAGAACCAAGTCTCCTGGCGTGAAGGAATAATCCTTAATAGTATGCTCATTGACTCGTTCATATCTCCTGACAGCTGCCCTCTTTTCTTCAGTTACTCGTTCTCGCATCTTTTCTACGTGGGTTCGGTGTTTAGCCAGAGCTTGCGCCCGGAATCCGATTAATTCTTCAGTAGTGAGCGTGCGCCCGGGCAACTCTACTAACCAGGTCGCTTCTTCTATATCAAGAGGAAGCAGTGGGTGCGCGCCAGTAACTAGAAAGTACGGCGAACACCCAAGCCCGCGCCGGATCGTGATTCTGTCCGCCCAGAGGACCTGGGGGAAGAACCAGTACCATTTGCTAGGGTTGCCCCCGGTAGCTTTGTACAGAGACTGGCGCATCGGCCAGTGCCCGTTCTCCACTGACCCGTTTCCTTGAGAATTGTACGGCGACACCCTTATTCCATGTATTCCGTATTTACTTCTTAGCCAGGCTACTGCTGCTAAGAATTGTGGCGCGTTATCCGTCACAAACACCTCAGGGCAGCCCCATCTACAAATAATTTCCTCTAACAAAAATAGCCCTAATGTTCGAGCATTCTCGTTCTTTATTGGCCTGCCTTCAAGCCATCGACTCAAGGAGTCTCGAGCGTCGACCACTTTATTATATCCATTCGAGGGAGTACCCATAACCATTACGTCCACATGTACTTGTTGGAACAGTGACGGAGTATGGGTAACTACCGGTGGTATCTGGAGCAATGTCTTCTGGCGCAACTGACACAACAAACAAGTTTTAATGAAGTGGCTGACATCTCTTTCGTACTCAGGCCACCAAAACCTCAGTTCTATCAGCGACTTCGTTGCGTAGAAACCCCGATGCCCAAGACTATCGTGCAAGGCACGAAGCATGTACATTCGTTGCTCCTTGGCGACTACCAGCTTATGTTCCCCACCGCTACCCTTCTTATACATTCTTCCCTTCTTATCTATAAAGAACATGGTCGCGAAGCGCATGAAGCTCTTATACTTCGAGTTAGACATGCCTTCTGGCCTGACCAAAGTATTTTTAAGCCAGACTCTGACCAACTCCAGGCGCTCGTCGGCATTGATGCCGGCTTCCGACCTGTGGCCTTCGTCATACTCTTCTGTTTGGTCTGGCGCCAACTCTCCATCTAGTTTTGGTAACAAGGGCTCCCCATCGATTTTAATTATCCGTGAGCGCCCCTTGTTCTTCTTCTTCGTTTGTACCAATTGTTCAACAAAGAGTTGAGTTACTGGCGCCACCCTACTATCTGTAGTGTGTAGCCCGGGGCCGTATCGAGGGCTCGCGCCAGAACACCCACAGCTGTTGAGTTCTCCTTTTAACTGGCGCTCTTCCTCTACGGATAGCCCGTTCACAAACTGCTGAAGCGGCGCCAATACTTCTCGCTCCTGGACAGTCTGATCCATCCGAGCTTGTAGCAATTCTTGCTGCAAGTCCGTGACATCTGTCGCCTCATTTCCTGTCATAGATAGCAGGTACCCTCCCCTGGTATCTATTTCTTCCTTAAAGTCCTCGAACTCGAGAGGAGCTGGCGCCAGGAGACTCTCTTCGTGAATCTCTGGCGGCAGGTTATTGTCAAAGTCCACCTCTGAATCCGGGAAGACTTCATCTCCCGGTTGTTTGAGTCTCCTGGATAAACCGTCGGGGCCAAAGGTCTTCCCCATGACATGCTTCAGTTTGAAGTGATACATCAGTATATCCTCAATCCAGCGATTAATAGTCGCGTTGGGACCCATGCCCGGGTTATCCAGCATTCCTTTAATATACTTGGCGTCAGTTTCCACCACTAATTTTCGACAGCCTAGTAGCCAATATTTCATAGCTTCTAGCGCCCGCTTTATACCAAATAGCTCGCGCTTAGGTTGGGAGTACCTCGCCTCGCGCTCGTTCAGAGGTAGTGATGCAAATTTAGCAAAGTACTTCTTGGTCTTATCCTTGGGGTCTATTTGATAAATTTGGATCCCTACGGCCATCCAAGAAGTATCAACCGCCAGGAAGATCTCCGAATCCCATTCATAATTTAAGGGCTTCAGACATGGACAGTTGGCGACAGCAACTTTTATTGCCGCCATACATAGTTTCTGCCTTTCTCCCCATTCCCACTCAACTCCTTTCTTGGTCAGGCGGTTTATAGGTTCTGTCAAGACTGTGAAGTCTTTTATAAACATCCTCATCATGCCAACCGTACCCAAGAAGGATTTTACATCCGTATAGGTCGCGCAATCTCCCCATCTCAGGATGACGCCAATCCGGTCCTCCGAGGGCTTCATCCCTTCGTAGGTACAGATGTGCCCAACAATTACAGGGTCGCTCCGACACAATACAGCTTTCTTGCCCGAGAAAGTGCCGCCAGCATATCCCATCCTTGTCACTACCCAGTTGAGATTCTGAAAGTGCTCCCATACGAAGCGCCTGATTCCATCATTCCCTTCAATGGTCTCAAACATCCCATCATCTTTTTCATATCTAGTTCCTGGCCCGCGTATCGGCACATCGTCAATATATGGCCTGGTTACATGGGGTACTTCGTCCTTCAAGATGTAGGTCACATCGTCATGAAATATTGGGACTGAGTTGGTCCATCCTTGCGGGAGTTTTACCAGTCTTAGCACGCCAAAAGGTGTCTGAAACGTAGTGTAGTCCCTAGAGGCTTCATCTATTGTCCTGTGGTTGTAGCCAGAGTATAAGTCCAAGCAGCCTCCGCAAGCTCTGCCCGCAAAATGTCCTGCCAATTCTTCCGCGCCAGGAGGTAGTCCTGAATGTGCTATAGTAGCCGCATTCAAAGGTTCGAGAGAGTGTACCAGGCGCAAGGATTTTCCATCGCTCTTTAGTACGCTGAAATACTTGGTCCGGTATGCGCCATTAGATGGCTCATAGATGTTGGCATCTATGCTCGCCCTCAACACCTTACAAACTTCCTCCAGTTGTCCTGGCGGGATTGGAATATTTCTTTCCACCCACACCTTGTGATCCTTCAATACTGGGAACTTGACTGGAGGGAAATATTCTTCCTTAAATGTACCCCTCTCGGCGTCATTCCAGGCAAAGTTCTTCTCATGTAACATCATAAAATAGTGTAGTAGCTTTCTCTCCCAAGGCCAGAGGAAATCCTCATCGTGAAGCTTATCAACTATTTCCTTCCTTTCTTCAGTGTACCTACCAGTTGGCGCGAAGTCCGGTGGTCTGACTGGTAGGGTAGGCAGATCCTTTAAAGGATCGCCAGTAATGTTCCGTATTATCCTATACTCTTCAGGTAACTCCTGAAATGCTGGTCTTATTTTATCCGCGACAGGTTTGTACTTCTTTCCCGCGAAAACTGATATTGGCGCGCCAGAATGTTCAGTTGGCGCCTGACTCCAGAAAGGGTCTTCCGCGGGGAATACCCAGTCAGCATATTCACAACACCCACAGCGTCCTTCCTTGGTGTGCTGGCGCTGACTTTTGTTATACTTAGGCGGCCTTGGTCGTTCGGATTCCTTGGCGCCAGGTATCACAATTTCTGGTAAGGAAACCATGTACGCGCCAGCACTATCTTTTTGTGCGCTGGTCATGTTCATGAATTCTTTGAACAGTAATACAGCTTCCGGGTCTTCATTCGTCAGATCAGGCAGACTCTGTTCGGTGTACAGTGCCGCCAAGTGTTCCTTTTCAAATACTCCATCTTTTTCTATGGCGTGCTGGGTGGTTCTTATCCACCCTTGCCCATCTTTATCTATTTCAACTATCGCGGCAAACTCTCGTTGATCCTTTATCAATTCCTTGAGTTCCCTTGAAAATTTGCTTCTTTTTCAACTTCTTCCTCAGGGATCTCTGTGGAAGTGTCCCTCTTGTTCAGAATCTGGCGCACCCGGCCTCGTTCCAAAGTAGGGATAGTGCATCTCTGGCACGAGACGGGATCGGTCAAAGTTATCACTTGTCCCCCATCAGCCTGGTTGCGCACTTCACTCGCCGTCAAGATTTCGAATGGTCTTCCCAACAGGACTTTATAGGCCGGCACCTTAATAATATGGACTTGCAGATAGATCGTAATCTGACCAAAACGGAACGCCACATTCCGCGCCAGTCCGACTGTCTTTTCCACTTGCCCATTGGCGCTCTGCATAAAGATATTGACGTCCGGGTCCCAAGTCAGGCCAAGCTTAATGGCCGTATCCAAAGCCATCGAGACTATTTGTGACCCTCCATCCAATATGCTTTCTTCCTGGCCTTGGCCCTGAATCAAAGGGTATACCACCCTGAGTGCAGCCGACTCCTTTCCTATTACTTGGTCCTCAGCAGAAAGAAGTACTTGTCTTGGCTTCCGCCCTTCCGGGACGCCAGCATAGTACTGTACGATTGGGTCATAAGCCACAACCGCACCTTCTGGTACCAAGCCATCCTGTTCTTTCTGTATAAAGAACTGGTG